CAGTGCCACCCCCTCCATCAGCACTGTGGATAGGATTATTCAACCTGCTATGTATCCCTCTTGACTGTTCCATTAGTCAGGGCCCCTTATGACATCTTGTCTGCAGGGATGTACTGAGTCACAGTGTGCCCGCTGCCTTTCCTTTTCTGTTATTGAATAACTTTGTCAAAGAAACAAGAGAGCTTACTCTGACATGGCTATTTTTAACATAGCTTAATTTATTTGTTTCAAAATAGGTTAAGGCCTTCAGACAAAATTAAAAGTCCATCTAGTTGGTATTTCGATCACTTATGCATCATCACAGATCAGAGGATTCAAATGCACTGTTCCTGGTTGTCCTGACAGGATAATAATGTAGTTGAAAATTTTTGGATCAGAAATATACTGAAATTTTTGTTTTGTTTTAAATATAGAGATTGTGTATGTTTAAACAGTATCCTTCTCACTAACCCGAAACTCCTTGTCAACAGCCATCTTTAGCTTATGCTCCTAAAGTCTGTGATTCGTACTTCACATGTAACCGTAGCTCAACACATGCTCACTCACTCAAAATGAGAAAAAAACAAATGAGTTTGGATTACCTATGGTTATTTTTTTTTTAACCCTCATAATCAGCTCACCTCTCTTGGGCTTTAATACCCTCCTGTTATCACCTCTTTTCCAGGTGAATTCTTTCTTTACAAGTAAGGGGACAGAGATAAAAATTAGGGTTTTTGGATAGTTCTGCTTATTTGTATATTATAATTATATTAAGTGAACCTTTCTTTCATACAATAAACCATAATTTCCATTTTGGTCTGGGAAGTTTTTCCAGTTGTCAGTTAATTTTGGCTGGTGACCTTTCTGATACTGATTTTATGTATTTATACCATTTGCACAAATCTATCATTTGTTGTGTTCCTCTTGACACTTTTGTAACAATATGTTTTAAAATCTGTTTCAGGCAAGGACTTCCATTTTAAACATACTGTTTTGTTCATATTATCATAAAATATGATTGTGTCACTGTCCTTTTGAGTTGCCTTGATGTACCCAGCCTTTGTTGTTCTGAGCTCAACCTTCCGTGTTATTTCAGCCTGAACTTATTTTTAGAGTTTTTGTAGTAATGTGTGTGGAATTCAGCCTGTAGCAGGTTGTAAAGTGATTGACAGATTATGGAGTAAAAATAGTACCTGTGGATGTTAAGGATAGGGGAAAGACACATCAATAGCTGGAGAAAGTGTTAGGATCAAATGACAATTTAAAAATATAGATTAGATACGAGCACATTTGAACATTAATGGAAATATCAAAGGTGCATTGCATCTGGATGCATAAATAAGTGGAAGGTGAAAGCTATAACCATTGGTCATTCTAAGTTTTAACAGCATGTAAGTACAACCTGAATGTATGCTCCAGGAGGTAAGCAGAAGTATGTATCATACCTGCTATCTTTATGCCTTTCAATGAGATTATCAAACCTGTTTATACATCTTCCATCCTATAATTTTTGATATAAAAACATAGTAAATAAAAATAAAGTGGGGCAGGAGGACTAAAACCAAATTCACAAGTAAGCTAGAAGGAACACTTAACTGCCAAATTCAGTTAGAATTAAGATAGACTGGCTCATCTATATCCTTTCTCCCCCTTGTATAACACACACACACAAACACACACACACACACACACACACAAATGGTTTTGAATGTATAAAAAAAAAGAACAAAGACCCACTGACTCATTTTAGTCTCTAGCATTCCCTGTTATGTTATTCTCGGATAAATACTTTCGATAATGATATAAGCAAGAACACTCTGATAACAATAGAATGAAATTTACAAAAGACACATTACTACAAGACTTTTTCTATGTTGCTTTTGTGATTTGAATGAACCAACCATTGGGACAGGATGCTATCAGAATTTTTTGGAGCAAATTATTTTGTTTGGATTCTGTTAGCTTTATGTAATTGCTTTTCAATGTGTTGCTTCCTTTAGTTTTGGGGATTTCCATATCTGTACTGCCTCTGCTAATAACACATTTGTAAAAATAGACAATGTGCATAATACATTTGATTCTCAATAATTAGATGTTATCCCTATAGTCATTTTGACTGTTACAATACACCAGAAATTGATGTTGTTGCACTTGCTTTTCAAATTATTATATAAGGCAAATAACATCCTCTCTCCAAAATATTTTCCCAGGTTAATTACTAAAAACTTCTTTGTTGTTTGTCATCTCTGATGGAAAAAAGGAAACACTTCTATAGCTTTATTTATGCACCACCATATTTCATTCAAATTAATGTATCATAATTATTCTCAAGTAAATTTATAATTCTCTGCTCTTAGTAAATAAACTTTTAAGAGTCATAGCACTGACAGGCCTGGTGGTATATGACTGCAATCCTGGTGGCTTGGGAAGCTGAGGCAGCAGGATTACAAGTTCAAAACCAGCTTCAGCAATGTATCAACTACCTAAACAACTTAGTGAGACCTTGTCTCAAAATTTAAAAAATAAATAAAAATAAAAAGGGCCGGGATGTGGGTCAGTGGCTGAGCACCCCTGGGTTCAATCCCTAGTTTAAAAAAATATATGGTTCAAAATTCCAAAACTGTTTTTTTGAAATCATCATCTTACTACCATATCAATTCCCATGCTATTCTTTCTTATCTGCTATTGATATATTTACTGGTAGGGGAAGGTATATTGGCAGTGCTCCTGTGTCTTTGAATTTTCTACATCCAGACATTAAAGTCACAATCACTGGAGATGATTCCGTAGTTCCTTCTAATTCATGAATCATCAGCACCAGGTTTTATTCCTTAGACTTGAAAGGTTTTGATGGTCCTTCTATTTCAACCTACATGTACCTTTGAGAACAAAAGTAGAACTAAAATCCATATCCCTTGCCCAAAGTAACAGTGGGGCCTATGAACTGTTTTCTTCTGGTACAGATATGGCTTCCTTGAGCTTGCTTATACCTACTAGGTGTGATGATTCAACCTCTTTTTGGCTTCTATAATACTTCATAGGTATAATTTTGACCCTGACATCCTTGTCAATTTATTTTCTCCTTCTTCTGTTCTATGGAGTAAAACTTTGAAATTCTCAGAACTTAGAATTCTTCCTAAGACTATGATGTGATTCTAAACAGTTACTGCTAGTTCTCAACAATGGGGCAAGGAAGGGTTGTTGATAAGGATGTAATTGGGGTTGATTTCATTCCATCTGTTCTGATCTACAGACACAATAGTGTGGTGCATGCCTTTGTTCCCAGCAATTCAGGACTCTAAGGAAGGAGGATAGCAAGTTCAAAGCTAGCCTCAGCAACTTAGAAGACCCTGTCTCAAAATAAAACATAAAAAGGAGTGTGGATATGCCTCAGTGGTTGAGTGCCACTGAGTTCAATCCCTGGTACAAAACAAACAAACAAACAAAAATGGCACACAGTATCTGAAAATAGAAAATAAAGACTAGATTGATAGACATCCCTGTGTTTCCTAGATTCTAAATTATATCTTGGATATCCTAATTTGTATTTAGTAATTCCTCATCAAATTTAAATATAAAATGACAATAGAAGAATCAAAGCCAGGTCACTTGAACACATTTTAAAGGAAAAAATAAATTATAGAACGTAAGCTAAATATATGTTGAAATATGATTGCTAGATTTGTGAAATAAATATTGCTATATTTGTGAATTATATTGCAATATATTGCAAATGACAAATAATTTGGTAAAGACTATAATCAGTTTTAAATTAGATAAAACAAATATTAATGTCTGGCATAAATATTTTATTTAAAAATAACTAGATTCTCCTTTCTTTAACATTTTTTACAGCCCAGGTTGTAAAAAGAGAAATCCTGAGCTCACACAGCTAGCAGCACATCAGTTTCCAAAGCTTCTGATGTTTTCTGCATCTCCACACTGTAGAAGTCAGGAAAGGCATTTTTTAATTGTATTAGTTTTAAATCTGCAAGCATGAATATCAAACTCAGAAGCTCTTTAGGTACTAGAGCAGGACATTAAGCTTAATATTTGTTGCATTGCTTGTAAATAATCATTTAATAAGCTCAAGGTAGTACTTAGAGATTTGTATCACTCTGTTCAACATTTATCATTGGAAGCAGAAGGTCAATCCTTTCTCAATAATTTAACTCTAAAAATAAACAAATAGGAAGAATTCCCTCCAAAAGAGCCAATTATACACAGCATTTTGTCAGAAATATCACACATTAATTTTCAGAGTGTAATTCATGTACAGTATGTATGTTGTATCTGTGTGTCTATCTTTTCATAATTATACCTACGTAACTAGGGTGATTTCAAATGTACTAATCTGTATTTTTATTTAATTAATCACTGAAAATAAATCATTCTAGTGCAGTCACTACTGTGGTATTCCTTTCTTCCTTTCCTCATCCATATGCCATAGAGTATATTATGGGAAGCCATGATACCTTTAGACAAATTTTGTTCTTTACATTTTATAACCTAAATATTAAAATCCTTATTCTGACTTAAAATTATTTAAAAAGAAAACTTTCAAAAACCTTTAAATTCACATAACTAAGTTTTTATGTGCATCTATGTTCTAAGTGGCAGTATACTCAATGGTTTGAAGCTGATTTTGAAACCTTGGCATCAGAATGGACATCTCAGTTTTACAAATTATGAAGAAATTATTTACTCATCAATAAAATAGGGATGACAGTGATAACACTTGCCTCATGGGGATACTGTGCCTGTCACAAGAATTAGCAGTAAGTATAATCTAGCTATGTTTATTAACCATGGTTTAAATGCACTGGAAGCTTTGCAATATTCTTTCACTGTAATTTTTATTAAGTATTCTTCAGTTAAATTGGATTCACAAATCTGATTAAATAAGAAACTTGTCAGTTAAGCAAGAGAAGACATGAAAAGAGAAAAAGAAAAGGAAGGAGATAGACAATTTGTAGTGACAAAACAAGTGGCATTGGAAACTCAAACACATTTATACTTACGGAGCTGCCCAAGTCGTGCTTTTTCTTTTTTACCAAACAAACGTCCTATTGAAGACTTGATTCCTTTCTTCTTGGGAGCTTTGTGAAGAGAATCTTGGCTGCTATTGGCACTGCCAAGCCCAAGGCTTTCTGGCTCAAGAGAGGCAGCTAAACTACTGCAAAACACAAAAGAGGACAAACTGCTTGTTTTGATGCAATATCCATAAAGCACACAAGACTTGTTTCTTTTATAAATGTACAAAAGGAGGAACAAGAAGACTTTGAATGTTATTTTCTCCCTTTCTTCCTACGCTGTTTCTTAAGATATTGAAATGTAGTTTCCTCAGCCTCCAGGCTCTGTATCTTCAAATTTTCAATAGAAAAATTCCCTTTTGTCCCAAATGGCTTTTTCTTCTTTATTCTTAGTACAATATGTAACTAATCAATGAACACAGGCTGGTATAATAACTGCTTGTTGTATGTCTTTTCTATTATTCAGGTTGGTTTAGTGAATTGAGCACCTGTTACCTACTTCTTTTTCAGAATTTGTTTTTCTAATGTTAAACATACTGACCAATGGTAATCACCTAATTATGCAATCAAATATGCTATTCCATCCTGTGATTTTACTGGAATTTCTTCTATCCATCACTTTCTCTCTTTAGTTTGGAACCTAATTTATTTACTTTAAATTCATCTGATTGGGTTCTAGAAGCAACAAATCTTACACCTTAGTGATTCCTGTATATTTTTTCTTAATTATAGTTCTCAAGCCTCAGCATTTTAGGTAAATGACAGGCTGATATGACTATGAAGTAGTTAGTCTTAAGTTCAAGTTCTGTTTCTAGTTTGACATTGTCACAATAGAAAGAGTTCAATAGATATTGCATAGGTTTTTACAGTTGTTAGTTTGAAAATACCATGATGCATTCTTTAACTATTTATTCATCCAATTTAATTTCAGCTCATATTCTCCACACTCCAAAGCAACTCCTTTTCATGTGTTAAAATATAATTATGTCTTTTGTTGGACAGGAAAAGAAATATATATTTTGAAGCTCTCACCCCCCCCACATTAACTGAAAATAAGAAAAAACAAATGCCTATAAGATAGAAAGCTCTGATTATAAAAGTATTTGTCATGAAACATATTATTTAGAAGATATTCTTACTTAAATTATTGACCATTAAGTCATTACACTTATGTCCAGAGGTCCTGCAATTGATAAGACAGTAAAAACACATACAATTAAGAAATAAAAGGCATGCTCAGATTTTTATATAGCATTAATTATTATAAAGATCCATTTGCAATGTTTTAGGCATATGGATACAACAGTATGAAGAGTTGGTTTGACAAAGGAGATATTTTCATATCTAGACAACTTTGCCTTTAACACTTGTGGTTTTTATCCCAAGAACTATTTGTCTGAGGAGCATGGTTGACTATAGATGCACAGGGTGCATATACCTGCTTGCTGAAAGTAAGTGAGGCACAGTAATGGACTTTTCAGACCTTATCTTGCAATCCAATTTATCATATTATCCTAGAATCCCTTTGGTATTTTTCCTCAGTCCTTTCACTAGTCTAATCTATTTTAATAGGAAATGGATAGCTAAAAATCAAAGCTATTCTCACATATTGACTATAACCAGATTGCAAAGTTGTTAATTTTAAAGTCAAAAATTGATCTCAGAAAGAGAATTGGTTATTTCACAAGATATATTATGGAGAAGGAGCACAACAATACCCTGATGCAGAATTATGACTCAAATCTATTTTTTTTTCTGTAAAAATTTTCTAGCAATCTATTTGCCAGTACTGATGGAAAAGGGACATTTTTGGAAGAGCATTTGATGGGCAGTATACTCAGACTGTCTTACCTCCGGGCATCATTGTGGTAGGAAGAAGGGAGGGTGTGAGTCATCCGGATGGCTCTGGGTGTAGGGGGAGGAGAAGTCTCACATTTAATTGTTGCCTTATCCTCCCGACCATCTTCTTCCACAACTGCAATCTAGAAGCAAAAACAGTACATTAATATGAATAATTTCTAAATTTCAACTGAAATGGATACATATGAAGAACCATTCAGGCACAGCTTTGAGAAATTCTAACAGAAATACTTGGAGCATGTTTTACATGTATCAATCTATACTCTTAAAGAGGATAATTTTCATACTTATTTGAAAGTAAAGACACTATAATTAAAAACTCATAGAATTTCCAGAATTTCAAAAAAAAAAAAAAGAAAGAAAAAAATCATGGACCCATTACACCAAAGCATTTTATAAAAAGTAATACATACCATAGATTAATATATGATAACCACAGAAAAGTTATTCTGGAATCTATTTTATCATGTCAGAGTATATGCTCTTTACAAAAAAAAGGTATTGAGCACATATCCGAGCAAATTTACAAAAGTAAAAAAGCATTATGCATAGTCAGATTATCATAACAAAGACACTTTTAAGTGGGGATTTTTGAAAGGAGCAGACAAGTTGGCAAAATATAATTTTATCAGATAAAGTGTTTTACATTAGCCAACTTAATAAAATGCCTTCTTAGAGTTTTTTTTAAAAAATGGTTAGCAATTTAGAAGAAAAACTTTTTCAAGAGATACTAATAAAAGGTAAGAAAATAATTCTTACAAATTGTTTCATTTCACTACTAGTGAAAGGAAAATTGGAAGATATAGAAAGCAAAAGCAGCCAGGATGAGAGGGATTTCTTTAAAGAACAATAAAGTTCAGAATTCAGAACAATTCAGGATGTCATCAGTTTTATCAGAGATATATTGCAATAAAAAAGAAATTTCCAACAATCCAGTCAATTTTAAAGAAATATTATTTTACATGCTTTACTTTTAATGGCACTAATGTAATATACATATCCATATAGAGATCAAGAATATAAAAAATACAGCTAAAATATAGACAGTTCTAAAAGCTCTGATGAAAAATGTTTCTCAGTATGACTCAGTTTTAGGCTAAAACAAAAATTTTAAAGCTGCATTCTGGGAAAATACTTTGTTTCTACATGAAGCTGTTATGCTATTATGCATAAACTTATTTATACATGATAAAGACCCTAGGCACTGGAGGAACATAATGAAGTTGTTCATCAGGTCTGTCATTATCAAGAGGCCAGATTGCTCTTTTTACTTTAGGTGGGCATCTTACTGTGAGTCCCTATCTCGATGCAACTAGCATAAGGCCACCAGAAGAATCTGCTATCAACACAATGCCATTTCTATGGAAGATCCTTTCTAAATCCACATCCCATCTAAACACTTTAAGCATGTTTCATTACTCTTCCTAATATGTATTGGTGTTATCATAGTTATGTGATGTAACGATTCTTGTCTACAATTGTTGTTGTTGTTAAGCACAATTACTTGTGCTTTCAGACTTCTGTTCCTGAAACACTTTTTTATAAAATACCCTCCCTTTTCATTGCCAAACTATACCCTTCCTAAAGTCAGCTCTTAAAAACATCAGGCACAAACTGTTCCACTAAATAACACTTAGAGCTCACACTATACAAAAGGTGGAAGTAAAAGACTTCAGAATCAGTCAATAAGATGGAAGTGATAATACTCACCTTAATGCATTGTTTTGAAGTTTAGATGAAGCCCTTGTGTAACTCCTTGCCCTGATACTCAACCATTTTTAGTTTCTAGTTCTCTCCATGACCTTTCTTTCCAGTCACGACTTTACTCTTTTAATTCCATGAGACTGCATTGCTATTCAAGACCTTCTATCTGATCTTTATTTATTTCTTACACCCACTCAATTCCTTTACATCACCTTTTCAGATTTCTTTCTATAGTCACAAAGTTCATTTGTAAAGTGGTGGAGGAAGTCAAGGAGTAATAAAGACTCTCTCCAGGGTAAATCTGATGATTGAGAACCATCTGGGGGTGTCAAGAAAACACTGGAAGAAGATAGATAATAACTCAGGAAAAGAACAGTAAATTTCGTTCATCTAAGCTATGTAAGGACAACATGGGTTTCTTTGATTTGATGATGATGACCAAGTTCTCTGGTTTCAGGAGTTTCGGCATATACTGAGTACTCTGTCATGAAGATACTGAGTAATGATTCATGCACTGGAAAGCAAGTTTGGGTATTTGAAACTTCTCCATCTGATATCTAGTGACTAAAAGCTATGCTGACCTAAATTATCTAATAGGAAGCCCTGTTATGAGTTAGAATTGGCATCTATTTTGCTTCCTATATCCTGTACTTATTCTCCTGATTTCATTCTGAGCAGGAAAGCCTTGTTTTTATTCACCTCCTGTTTTTCTGTATCCTTGATGCTCTGCATCTGGAGAGACTGCTCCTTCCAGTGCTTACTAATTCCTAGAGATAGCAAACCACATCCTGGAAGAGAGCCTTTCGTATGCAAGTATGCAAAGGCTCAACTCAGATCCCTCTACTGTCTCCTAAAGCTGGTTCCCAAGCTCCAGGAGCAGTATTCTTCTGCCCTAATTACCCAGCTCCAGGCAGAGACCAGAAGTCCCTAGACCCAGAGCCAGCCTAAGCTACTTAAACATCAGCCCTAAACCTGCTTGCCCTGCCTTTCCTTCCCTTTCCGGAAGATAGCTCAAAAAGGCCCCTTCCCAAGCTTTCTCCTCACTCCTGCCAATCCCAGTGCTTTCTGAGGACATGGAATGCCCACTTCTCTTGGGTAATGTAACAAACTAATATGTTTTCTTTGGCAGTTGCCTCCTCATCTGTTTGCCTCAATTTTCATGAATAATAATGAAATAAACACTTTAAAACAATGAGCATTTATTTAGTATTGATATTAAAATATCTAACTGTATCATCAGTAGTTTAAGCATTCAGTGGAAAATCAGGAGAACAAGTCCTCATAAATCTAATCATTGTTCCTAAAGCATAAACGATCTTATTTTTGATACCTCATTTCCTATGATCATATTTACACAATACAATAATAACGCTTAAATACTTTCAATATTTTTATGTTAACAAAATCTTTGGGGGATATATTATTTTAAAGCTTTTATAAAATAAAATATTTTATAAAATAAGTAATATTCAATGAGCAACCACGTAAAAGTTACAGTACCTTTCTCCGGTGTTTCCTTAGATCACTTGGCTGCGATTGGCAGTAATAAAAGCAACATAAAATAGAACTAATTAATGACTACCATTGACCATGTTACAAGTTTACATAATATCTAGTATCTATAATTTATCTATCATTTCTTTTCTTTACTCCATGCTATCCTAAATAGGTGTTTTTTAAATTATTATAGAAATATTCGTCCTCCTTGATGGTTACTTGAGAGAAGAAACCTCTCATGGATAGGGGAAGGTCTCCATGACACAGCCATGTTTACCTGTGTTGTGTGCATTGCATATTAGACACACACAGTGGAGAACATAAAGCACAGAGGAAGACAATCTAGCAGTCAGAAACAAAATATGACACTATACCAATCCAAGAAAATATGGACCAGAATGAAGATCTAATACACATATATAGAATTTATAAACTCCCTATTGCTCTATCCATGAAGAACTTTGGGTGTCCTTTGCACAAGTATTCTGCTCTGAAGGATCTTAAATTTCCTGGAATCCTAACAAACTTCCCCACACCATACATGCTAAAGGCTCTGGCCTCAGCATAACATGCCACAGGGTATACTGCTTTCTTGTCAATGCTCTTGTACAGAATTTAAAAAGAAAAAGTTCCTTTTTTATAATTCCAGGTGAGCTTTACTTACTATTTTTTGTTAATTTTTTATACGTAAGTAAAAACATCTTTATTAAACTATTCCATTTTGCTTTCTATTTTTGTTGCTAGTAGAATACATGTTAACTTTATCGTATTGAGTAGTCTAGATATTGCTAGCATGTTATTCTTGTCTATGGATTTGTGTGAGGTAAGAGGTAAAGGTAAATACAAGTACACTTTATTATCAGGATTAAGAAGCAATGTTGGCAAGGTATCATGCCATGCAGTAATTAACGTGGTGTTTTTTTTCAGTCTCTTGTTTTCCGTCCATAAAATTTCTAGTCTTCCTCTTAATATTCAAACATGAATTATATCCAATGAAATTATTTTTCTATTAATATTTTCTAAAGAAAACCTAACTGTCCTTCATTATAAGAATATAAATTTGGTGACAGGGTTTCATTGGGTATCAAAGACTTCTAAGAATTCCTTTCTTGCTTTCTTGACTAAGAAAAACTCAAGAAAATTTCTTGATTCCTTTAACCTTCAGGAAATGCCATAAATATTTTTTTTTAAATTCTAATTGTAGTGTAATAATGGTCACTTACTGGTTTTTATTTATGATTATCTACTCAAGAAAATGCATGAAAGCACTGGCATATTTTTCATATGCCCCAAAATCCAAACAATTTTAATTGCACTATTTATTATTATAAAAATAGAATTATTAAGGGCTACAATGTTTATATTTTAAAAAATACTTAAAGGGCAAAATAAATATGTTGTAAAAATATAGGGAAATATTAGTACAGAAACCATCAAAGTATAACAGCCTCAAATGCTGACTAAATTGGGTTCTGTTGCCCCAAATTCTTATAGTAGCTTTGGTAATAAGTCAGTCATTAATATTATGTAGTACATATTACATTTGCAGAAACCAAGGCAGAGATGATAACATTTTAGTTAATAAGAGAGATGTTTCCTGGTTTTCCAAAATAAGCTGACTATAATGTGGCTTATAGGTGTACCAATTAGGATACATTAGTATATGAACTCCAAGTTTGTACTGTATAGAGGTCAGTTCTGATTAGTTGGTCATTATTGGATTATTGTCAATTCTGATAATGAGCACAAAATGGAAGACTCACCTGTAAAATTGAGGACAAAGATACCTAAAATAATATATATATAACTAATATCTATGTTTGTATATATAATATGTAAAAAACATTTTTAAAAGATGAAGTAAAATTTTCTGAATAGTAAATATTTACTTGTAAGAGTGTTCTCCCTAGGGTGAGAAAAAAGGTATAATAAACACACACCCATATACACACATATATGTAGATTTATACAAATTAATTCTAATAATTAAAAATAATTTTCATAATTTATTAACTAGATCACACACTGCTTCAAAATATTTAAGATGGAATTTAGACAATGAATTAAATTTCTTTATTCAAATATATATGTGCACATATATAGAAATATATAATTGAACACATAGATATGGGCTTTGTGGACTTTTATAGTACTTTGCAGCCTTCTGATCACAAACACTACATATCCTCTATATCTTTCTGTAATATCACTGATTTTTCTCTATTTACTGTATTTATGCTTTTACTTCCATAGATTGTTCAAAATATTTTAATCTTTCATTGCTGTCATTTCAAATATTTCTAGGTAATTACAGAATTTTTAAAAAAGCAAAAAAAAAAAAAAAGAAAAGAAACAAGGATAACTAGGCATGGTGGCACACACCTGTAATCCTAGCGGCTCAGGAGGCTGAGGCAGGAGGATCACAAGTTCAAAGCAAGACTAAGCTACTTAGTGAGGCTGTAAGCAACTTAGCAAGCCTCTGTCTTAAAATAAAACATAAAAATGGGCTGGGGATGTGGTTTGGTGGTTAAGCACCCCTGGGTTCAATCCCTGTATGGAAAAACCAAGACCAACCAACCAATCAAACAACAACAACAACAAAAAAAACCCCAACAATTATGCTTTTGAGTTAGACATATTTGAGGAAAGCTCCAATTCCACTCATGAGCGGTGCTGAATATGGTCAATTTTACTCATCTTCTCAAGCTTCAGCTACCTCTGCTCTCTGTTGAGACCATGCTCCATGATGGTAGTGCTCTCATGAGAACTGAATGACTAAACATCTTGTTATTCCATAGTCATTCCAACCATAGTTTACAGAGGCCTTACTATAATACTTTTATCATGTGGCACTTTGATTTTTTCCTCAATTTTTTTTTCACGGATTTCCTAGTTTAGGCTTCCACATTTTATCTCTGAATATAAAAATAAATTAAAAAAAACTAAAGAATAACCGACATCATCTGATAAAGATGAGAACTTGGTGCTATTGATTTTTATGGCTCTGAAGCCATTATAATTGTATTGAAGCCATTGTAATATATGTGTTTTGCTATTTTCTATTTTTAAAAGCCCACCCAGTCTAAATTTATTGCATCAATATGACATCAGTAAAAATTCACTTATTGATTTAAATCATTCACTTTTCTCATGTGATATTCAGATCCCTGACTGTCCACGGGCTTACAGATTGACTTTAAGAAAATTGCAGCATCTGTTTGGATACTGTCTCCACCATTTGTAATGGAATTAGTAATTATGCCTACCACATAGGGTTGTTGTGGGAAAAAAGAAATAAACCATAAAATTCATAGAAAGTCCTTAGATGAGAGCAAACACCTAAGGTGTTTTAGATAATGCATCATTAATCTTAACAGGGACGAAATTTCTGTATATATCATCATACCAGTGTCATGACTCCCATCCTGTCCATTTCTCTGGCTGGGCTTCTAGGGGTGAGCTTTGGCGTTGAGTGTCCACTCGGGGGAGATGAACTGGCCAGTGATGAAGCTGTAACAGAGGCAGTGATAGAGGTACCTGGGTGGACCCTAGCCAAATTCAGGCCCTCCAGGCTCACACTGGCCACTCTATTCTCAATTTCTTCAGCACGTAACTCTGTAGATTCCTTTTCTTCCTGAATCAGCCTAAAAGATACAGTTTAATTTTGATCTATTATATACTGCTAACATGGCAACCAGAATTCACATAAAAATCAATTAAAAAGTACTTCAAATATTTTATATCGAATCTAGTACTTACATCTCATTTTTCTGCTATAGGCAGTACAAACTTAGTAAATGCTAGAAGCATCTTGACCTCAGTTTAGAAAACCATTTCTTTCAAAGGATATCTAATTCGTAGCCACTTTCAGTTTGACCATTTTCTACTACCACTTGTTAAAACTCTTTTGAAACTTTACAACCTGGTAATATCTACCACTTATTCTAATATTATATCTGATCTCAAGTAACAATTAAAAACACATAGAAATCCAGATATCAGCAGCATTTCATTGAGCTTCCACCCAATGAAAAATTTAATTAATAGCATCTTTAATAAATGTTAATTTATAATTATCATATAGCTGAATAAAACCCAGAGTCTTCTTAAGACATTAATACTTATTTAGTTAAGTATCTTTTAAATAAATAACATGCAATTTAATAACAGTTAATCAAATAGCATAGTACAACATCATTAGTACATAAAACATACTCCAAAGGAAAATCTTCCCCTCTCCCCCCAAAAAAGACATTTTGTACTTCTAGTGTACTTGTTATTTAAAAATGACTCCTGCAGAAATTTCTTTTGATAAGGAGCAACATGTTTCTGCTGTAGAAATAAATTTTAATCATTTATTCTGGAAATTCTGTTAATTGTAAAGGTGAGCCAAGCCTAAAGGATGTTGAGTAAGAGGTAGATGAAAACTTAATCCAATAGGAAATCATTTGTAGCTAGGCGGTCAGTTTGTTTAAAAAGTAAATGACAATCTGTTAATATTTGGAGTCCTGATATAAATATGAAAAGTAAAGAAAACAATAACAGCAAATTAGATTCCCCTTAGAGTGTTCCTCAGGAACCATGTAGAAGAATGAAAGGATAAATCCTACAAAAGTAAGACAGGCAGAAGAGTAGCCAAAGGGATGGGAGGGGAAGGAGGGGGCATGCAGGTAGAAATGAGGGTGTAATGAAATGAACATCATTACTCTAAGAACAGGTATGAAGACACGAATGGTGTGAATCTACTTTGTATACAACCAGAGGCATTAAAAATTGTGTTTTATATGTGTAATATGAATTATAATGCATTCTGATGTCATATATAACAAGTTAGAATAAAAAATTTTAAAAAAAGAAAAAGAAAAGGAGTGTAGTGGTAAGTGGTTGTGAACTACCTGGATTCCTTCTTTTAAGGGAATCAATGAGCGGTGAACAAGTCTGAAAAGATGCTTTTTTTTTAATGACTAAATTGGTTTTTGAAAGAAGAAAGACTATAAACAGAGATAAATTCTGGTTGGAGTTAGCAGCTTACCAGTATATATCAAGGAGACTATTTCTGTTGAAAGTTGTTATGTAATAAAATTTCATGTGTTTTTCAATACTCTTTCAAATAAGCAACTATATGAACCTATGCTCTTAGTTAATATAGACTAAGATTGTTGCAGAGATTTACCATCCCAATTTCAGAGAGGTAACAGTCTCTGGAAAATAAATAGATTGTTAGTGAGGGTGTTTATATATATATAGAAAAGGTGGGGCAGAAGGCCTGGCAGTCAGTATAGGTAATGAATGATGGGGGTTGCAAAGATGAGTGCTGGTTATCACAAAAAAAAAAAAAAAATACAAGGGTAGCTACCACCTCTGAGGATCTCACTCCCCAACACAAACTATTACCTCTTGTGTTTCTCCTTCTTTCCCTGAGGCACATACATGGAGAAAAAAGAGAAGGTGTGGGGATTCCAGGGTCAATAAAAGAGCAATACACAACTATTCCCCTGGACATCCAGCTTTGGGCTCCACTTCTCTTCAGAAGTCTGTCCTTGTCCTTTTCTTAAATAAGAAATTACTTTCTGCTCTTGCCTTTGCATTTCTACTGTTCAACACCGGGGGAACAAGGATTGATTCCAATTTCCAAGACCGGTATCAATGCCTCTGATTTGAGATCCATTTCTGCAGTATTAAGGTCTTCTATCCTCATGAAACAAATGATCAGTACTAATTGAACTCACCTGATTTCTTTGTTAATTGCATCCAATTGTTCCTGAAGCATCATAGCTAGAGTCTGGGCATCAGAATGACCACTTGGAGAGAGAAGATCCATTGAGCTAAAAATTGTTTCTCTGTCATCATCATCAATATCAGACATTTCAGTGTCACTTTCAAATGGATGGCTGCTTAGTACTCCTATTTGCTGCGTTCTGTTCCATTCATGATCCCCAAGTGATTTAACCTAAATGGTTTACAAACAGTGGAGAATATTTATCATTTGTCTCATTTTTTAAAGTACTAATATGAAAAATACCAACAAAAGCATGCCAGCTTTTAGAGCTGACCTGGGAAAAGCATAACCAACTATTCACCTTCCAATTTATTGGTTCTATAAAATAGTGTTGTGATTACATAATCACAACAATAAAAACTAACTTCTTAAAAAAATACTCTGGGGCCTATCCCTTATGTACTTAATCTTGTCTTCCTTTGTTTATGTATTTATTTTGACATTTGAAATAATGACAGGTATTCATTTTCAGCATAAATATCAATATTTTCATAGGAATAGAGATAGTGAACTTCCATGTTATCGATAATCCAGTCACCTAACCCTTACCTTTCATAGTAACAATTACTGTAAAGTATCTTCATTTCCAACACTTTGCCTATTTCTAAATACAGCGATCACTATTTTCTTGTACTCAAGAGTTAGCATTTCTGATACTCATTGCTCTGAGGCCACTGATATTATATAACAAATTATATAAGAATTGTCTCTTTGGAACTCGCATAGGTGATAACAAAACATTAATAGAATATTGCATAAGGGCTAATTTCATCTCCACTACTCTGGTCACTTGAACACCTTGATTTTTTAAACCCAAGGCATGCTAATTTATATGGCTTATATTTTTGTAAATTAATATAATGAAGCCTACCCTTGAAAGAGAGTTTTGAGTAACCAATACGCAGATGGTTTTCAAACTGTGATCTGAAGGTATGAGGGGGTTGCAAATAAGGGATATGCCCTGGAGTATTTTTTTTAAGAAGTTAGTTTTTATTGTTGTGATCATGCAACAGGAGCTTTATGGAGGACCACATGATATTTCCCAGAGTATTAAGAATTGAGGACCTGAATCAGCATTTACTTTACAGATTGTTTTAGTTTCAAAGAGTACGAATTGTCACATACTAGTAAGAAAAGAACTGATATGAACTTAATTTTGTCTTGATTTGTTTATGTATTTATTCATACATTCAATAGATATCGGATACCTACTGTGATGGATTAATTTCTACATGGTATATTGGTGGCAGTTAAAAACCAAAAGGTATTAAGGAACTGTGTACAAATAAGGACAAATGAATAGTATTTTGAATACATGAAAGTAGGGGAATAAACTCAACTTCAGGTACCAAGGAACAGTATTATCTTCTATAAAGCTCAACTCTATTACTTACACAAAAAGCATAGCTTAAAATTTTTGAGTTATTGGGGATGTGGTTATCACTCAATGGTAGAGCATTTGCCTGGCATATGTGAGTCACTGGGTTTGATCCTCAGCACCACATAAAAATAAATAGATAAAATAAAGGTATTGTGTTCACCTACAACTGAAAAAAAATTTAAATTAAGTTATTGACAGAATAAAAGGCCCATAGAACAGTTTTTCATTAACACTTTGGGTGTACATTTCTTTGTACATTTTCCACCAATGATTTTTAATATAGTAATTTTCATTAAAATGTTTGATTAATTTGAATTAAAAATATGAACACTACTGCTTACTTGTTTAAAACTTAAGTTCATTTGTTTGGGAGTATAGTGTAAAGATATATAGTGCATGGTTTTTGAAACTGGGCAAGTATAGGCTCAAGCTTTAACTCTAGTAATATTTGTGTAAAGTTGAACATTTAATCTTTCAGAGCTTCCACATTTTTATGTCTGAAATTGTATAAAGTATTACTCACTTCCTAATGTCCTACAGGTAAGAACATGAGACTTGCTTAGCTCAATTCCTGATACCTAGCAGAGGCTTTATGTTAGTTATAAATTTAAAAATATTTCATACTTTGTGCCTGAAATGAATAAAATTAGGTTCAATTGTTTTAGTGTTAAAATGATATCCAATATGGAATCATGTTTTTAAATTAAAATGATAAAAAATTTGAAGTACGGTGATTAACCTTTGGCTCATCTCTTCTCACACCCACGCGGCCTCTCCTTGCTCTTCTTATTACTTTAGTTGTTCTGTAATCAGACTGGCTGTCCACTAGGGATCCTACTGAATACCGCAACTCAGCTGAGGTGTCTAGATGAGTTCTGGAGAAATGGAAAAAAAAAATATGCCATATATCCAATCTTAAAAATTAAACATACCAGCAAATAACTGCTGCTTAATTGGCAATAAAGCATTAAACCCTGAAGGATATAAACCCCAGAAGAAACTGATGAACTGTCATGCTTTTAGGCATGTCAGACACCTTTAGAGGTTTATATTAGAAGTTCCAGTCTCAGGACCATCCCTGAAGGTCAAGGCCATTTTTTCTCCTTTAAGAATATACTTTCAACTTGTTGTTTATTATCATTTTCAAATGTGATAGTACAACGAAACATGTTAACATTCATAATCAAGATCCATTGCACTAAAAGGAACAATTCTATGTAGTTTCTGCTCTTTAGTGGATATCTCAGTATTTCTCATTCATTACCACACTTGTTTTAAATGTTTCTCAGCAACATATCTCAAAACTTTTGGGGCCCCAGAACCTTCTCAATTTTAAGAATTTCAGAGACATTCACTCATACATTCTCTATTTTTCAATTTAGAGAAACAATGAAATACTTAAAACAAGATTGATACAAGGTTAATCATTTGTTAAAAATAAAATAGGGAGTACCACTAGGACAGTTTGTTATCATTCATAAAATATTATTACAAAAGAAGTAAGAAAATGCTTTTAGTAAGCACAGTTGATAGTACAATTTGCTTAGAGATGAAACAGTTGGAAGATTCCAATTGGAAAATATCATCACACTGGTTTTCAATAAACATGGTAATAAAGTACACTGTAATCAATATGCTGAACTGGTTCTTACAGCACATTATTCACATAGATTTACAGCAAATTCAGTTTATTGCCATAATAATGATGATGATTATTACAGCAACTTCATTTATTCTATAAAATGAAATAACAGATCCATCATCAGTAGGAAATAGACTTAACGCTGTGCATTCCGTGGAAATTGGGGCTCCCACTGACTGACTACACATCCTCTTAGTTCTGTTTTTGAATAAAAACAAGCATTTCTGAATATCTGGCAAGATTTGAAAAGGTTTGTTGAAGTCTGGATCTTTACAACAGTGGGAGATGCTAGCCTAGCTTAAGAGAGACCTTGTTTTGCCAAATGGGAAACTATAGCAAATGAACTAAGGAATCATCCCTCAAATAGTTACTATTTCTATAGCAATCAAATTGAAAAATAAGTAAACTTGATTTATAGTGGATATGTCATATCCAAACATTAATCAACCCAGTAATACTAGAAATGCACAACTACAACTTTCAGTGTATTGGAGAGAGGCTCTAAGTTTATGAAAACCGAGAAAGATTTTTCTTTTGTTTGTTTTTGATCTCCATTTTTTTTTTTTTTTGGCCTGGGAGGGTGTGCCCAGTACTTTATAAACATCTAGTAAGATAGTAATGAATGCAACTATAATAAAGTCCTAAACTTTCTAGCTCAGAACGATGTAGGTCTCTTTCATCTGGGGCTGCTTATGTTAACGGCCCTCTGGGATTCAGAGTGGAGCTTCTAACATTGTAATTCATCATGCTAGCAGGAGTTTTCCCTCTCAATGCCAAATAAACATGGAATGAAACAGAACTAGCACAATAATACCCTACTTAAAAATCATCAAACTCCTTTTAAAAACATTTTATTGGTTCTTCTTAGATACACATGACAGTAGAGTCTATTCTGATGTATTTATATAAACATGGAGTATATCTTATTCTAATTAGGATCCCAGTCTTGTGAATGTACATGATATTGACATTCACTGTGGTGTATCCATATATGTACATAGGAAATTGATGTCAGATTTATTCTACGTCTTTTCTATTTCTATCCCCCCTCCCTTTCCTTCCTTCCCTTTTTAATAATCCATATAATATCTTCATTATCTGGGCCCTTCCTACTTTGCAGCATCACTTTTAGCTACTGTCTGTTTACCTTCCATCCTGTTGAACTGATTTTAATTCAGCTCCTTCCATAACTCACTCTTCATTTCACTTTCGTGCCATTGAACATGCTTTTTTTTTTCCCCCTCCTGGAAACAGTCTCCTAACACATTTATATGGCTAGCATTCTGCAAATCTCAGCATACAAGTACTATTTCCTTACATTGTACAACTCCAGTCCATAAATTAGTATTTCTGAGTTTTCTATCTGGAACATGTGTTCTCCATCACCACTGTATCTCCAACACATCTAAAAAGTACTCTCCTGTAATTCTTGCATATAATCTCATTATACAACTCCATAAATAAACCAGATATGAATTTTCTTAGAGAATGCCTCTTACCTATCCCTCTGCTTTCTAAAGCATCATCTGTTGTCCTTTCCAATTACCCATATCCTACCCTTTATTTAGATTTGAGCCAAACCATGCCTCCTCTTGTCATTCCGAGACAAACATTATTTTCTTAGATGAGATACTAGTAGAAACTACTACTGTTATTCACCAGTAGCTCCTCTCTTCTCAACTTCCCTTCTATAAGATCAAACACTAGTATACTGAGTACTCATGTATCTTCTATTTTACATATAAATTTAACTACATTCCTTCAAAAGCAAGGATATTCAATAAAAATACTGGTTAATAAACATTCAGTTATGCTATAACTTCTTTTAGTTTAACTATCTTAATCATTCCTACAATAACTCTATAATTGTGATATGATTTATTATTTATAGCCCCATTTGCTCACTTGTGTCATTTTATTGAACAGCCTGTAAGATAATTATGAAAATATCAATCATGTATATTTATGTAATATATGTGTGTGTATAATATATATATTCAGTTAGAATCTTATTAAGAAAAAAATGGGTTTTCCAAAATCAAACAGCTAATAATTGTCTGTCTGAAATTTAGGAATGTGGGTCATTTTACTCTGATTCTAGTGTTTTTTCCACTACCATCTGCTGCATCAGAGAATATTTGTTCTGCATGGGTCCCTTGACCCTTAATTGTAGGTAAATGTCACCTTGTTAGCCACAAAAACTCACTGCAGTGACAAAGTCCTAGAATTCAACTCTAGATTTCTACAAGTCTGTTTCAGACATAAGTCCAAAAAGACAAGAAAATGCCAATTTGATGCTATTAGAATATAACTAATTTGTTGATTAGATAATACTTAGTCTTTGATATTTTATCAGCTCTTTTCCTTCTTCATCATCATTATCACCACCCATACCATATGAATACATATAATTTAATTAATAATTCCAGTTTGAATGAAAATCAAAAAGTAAGAAAAATTATCAGAATTTTTAAAAATAAGCATGATTTTCTAAATTAATGACTTACATGTTTGAAAGTTCTTTGAATGTCATTGTGCCTGCAGAACTCTTTTTTTCATACTAAACTGAAGAGATACTCAAATATTACACATATTTTTTGTTTCTACTTTCATTGAGAAGAATATAAAATTCTTTAGGGTTATTTTTCACTTGGATTTTTATCTGATTACTGAAACATGCTTTACTAGATATTCATTCATTTATTCATTAAACAGTATTTATTGAGAGCATGCTACATGCCAGGACATGTTTTAGGTGCTGAGATTACAATAGTTATTGAAAACAGATACACATTTCTGCTTTTGAGGAGTTGACATTCTTTAGATGGACACACTACTAATGAAAATGTTCTCTTAGAAGTCTGTGGTTGTCAAATTTGCAAACAATTGGTATTATTCTGCATTGTCTAGCAAAATAGAGGATTAAATGTGTGGAGCAGAGTTTCTTACCAACTTAAATAAAAGGCCTTAAGCATAAGAGAAATCAGTGTGTAAGTTATTAACATGTACATCTATCAACCTGTGTCACTATTCAGCCAAGGGTTTTGCTTCTTTCTTTACAATGAAGTTGTGATTGAAAATAACCGAGTATGGATAAATTCATTTTACATATGTAATTTTTTTCTTGCCTTTTAATTTTTAACTACTCTAACAAAATAGAAGCTAAGTGGCCATGGTCACTGATATTTGTTCCCTCACATTAAGCCTTGAACATACTTCTGCATGTTTCCACATTGAACACATGTAGAAAAAGGGACTGGTGCCTTCTCTTAGAATGTAATGTAATCTCTGTATGTAGTAATCCTAGTGGCTCAGGAGGCTGAAGCAGGAGGATCATGAGTTCAAACCAGCCTCAGTAATGGTGAAGTGCTAAGCAACTAAGAGATACTCTGTCTCTAAATAAAATACAAAACAAAGGGCTTGGGATTTGGCTCAGTGCTTGAGTACCCCTGAGTTCAATCCCCAGTACCAAAAAAAAAAAAAAAAAAAGAAAAAAATATTAAATATATATTTCTATTTATACAATTGAATTCAGAATACAAAAGGAATTAATGCTCATTTTATTGAATATGCACAGAAAAAAATTCTAAATTAGAAAGCTATTTTTGAATGTAGAAATTAAGTCAGCAAAGAGTCAAAGGACAGCAATGACTATTGAGCAGGAGGAAATATCTATTTTAGTTTAGAGTTATAAAACCATAGATTGATAATGATTTTTAGTGAACTATAGATATGCTTTTAATCTAATATTTACCTTGATATTGTGGGTTCAATTAGAGAGCCAGTTCTCATTTTCAGCTGGTCAAGTTCAGCTCTCAGCTTTTCAATTTCTTCTGCTAGTCTTTCCTAAAAATTAAAAAGTGTTACTCAGATGATAATTATATGCCAATATTACCAACACTCAATTATGATAAGCCAAATTGATATTTTTAAAGGGAAAATGACAAATATATTTTGATTAAAGATTATTAAACATGATAGTAAATTATGCCTGAATTTCCTCTTGGAATGAAAATACAAATAATAGAAATTAATAAAAAGTTACCTACATTACCTGGCATTCAATATTCCTTCATCTCTGCAAATTTACAAAAATATTAAAATCATGACCAGCTATGGAAATATCACTTCAAATACCTAGTAGAAAAAAATTGTTTCAAAATTAAAAAAAATATATCGTTTATGTAGTAAGCAAAGATTTTTGCTATTCTCTGAGGACTGATGGACATGTGGGTAATGGAAAAGACTGAATTAAAAGAACTAGCAAAAACCAATCATCACTTCAATAGAAAAGTTAACACAATTTTTGGTTTATTTTGTACAATTATTTGTACTTCTGATAGTGTTCATTGGTTAAAATTATATATTTCAATATGAAAATTTATGATAGAAGTTGTCATATTTCTTAGTTAAAGCCTGCAAAAACAACTTTTGTATTAATGATTTTAGCTTTTAAACTATTATAAATGTTGAAATGCATCCTTCAGATTTTCTAAGGCTGTTTTCTCTGTTTCAGTGGCCAGGGTCTGCATTTTATTTGATTCATCCTTTTTTTCTCAACACTCTGAATCAAAATGTGGCCTTTGCCATGTTTCTCTTATCTGCCCTTGTAATTCAAAATCACTATCTTACTTCAAATTCTTCTGATTTTTCTCTTGAATTATCTTGCCGGCTTCAGTATTTTCCCTACATATTTTTCGGCTGGTCATATCATTTTTAAACATATGTACAGTAAAATAATTGCTTGGCTTACAAATAGCCAATAGTTTCTTACTGAATTCATTAACTCATTTGTTCATTGTTTTTCAGAAAAAATTGCATTGAATTCTTAAGATACAGAAGTACAATGACTGACTTCTTGCCCTCCTTTAATTTACCACACTAAATTTTTGTGTTTTTTTTTCCCCCAAAACAAACACTAAACAAATGGGATGTGTATGGGCATAGGATGTTCTTAGGAAGAAAATGGAGTCATAGAATGGCTTTCTTATAAAATATTTGAGCAAAGACCTAAAGAAGGGTATGATAGTACTGAAAATATGGGAAAATCTTAGGAAAGGCATTGCAGATGGAAAGAGAAGCAGGTGCAATTGCCCCTAACTGCAAGAATATTTCATGAATTGGAGGACAAGTGTCCAGAGGGATGGGTTTGAGAGGTTAAGGAGAAAGATAAATATGGGGTGCATATAGGAAACTACCATTGTGGGATTCAGAAAATGTATTTCTGAAAGCATTATAAACAATACGATGGTCTTTGGATTTTACTTTGATTGAGATAGGGAGCTGTTTTTTTATTTACTTTGAGATAAGGAGAATTTTTGAGAGAAGTGACATGATTATTCTTGTAGCTCTGCAAAGGACTGCTGAAAGGGAGTAGGAGATATGAAAAAAGAAAATTATTGGCAATTTTCAGCTGGGCACAGTAGTACATGCCTGTAATCCCAGTGGCTCAAGAGGCTGAGGCAGGAGAATCATAAATTCAAAGCCAGCCTCAGCAAAAGTGAGACACTAAGCAACTCAGTGAGACCCTGTCTCTAAACATAAAATAGGACTGGGGATATGGCTCACTGGTTGAGTGTTCCTGAGTTCAATCCCTGGTATCCCACCCCACCAAAAAAAAAGAAAAAAATATTGGCAGTATTCAAAAAATATTGATTAGAATGTAATGGCTTGTACAAGAATGGGTTTGGGGAGAGAATGGATAGATTTGACTAGATTTTGATGGCAGAACTAAAAATTTGCCTATTATTGAACATGGAGTGAAACATAAAAACAGGGTTTAAGAATTTAACTCCAAGTTTTCTAACTTCATTTACTAAAAGCAGTTGTAGTTGTGATTAACTGAGAAGGCCATGGTGCTAGTGGGTGTGTTAGGTGGTGTTGGTGTTTGGCTTGTGTGTATAGGGGGGGATGTGGTAAGAAGACTCAGATGTTAAGTTGAGAGATGTAGGTGTCCAAGTGTACATATTGAGTTAGCACTATAATATACAAACTTTCTCAGGGGAGATGACCAATAGATAATCTAAATTAGAAAATGTTCAATTTGTAGGTGGTGTTTCAATCCATGAGACCAGGTGTACTTAAGGGGCTGACAGGGATAATCTACAAGGATAGCTCAAGGGACTTCGAATTTTGAAGATAAGGATAACGAAGAAGAAATTAAGAAAAAAAAAGAGGTTGTGCATACAAGGGATATTCCTGATAATGGACTGTAATTATAGTTGGTGGGGTGGAAATCTGAGCAATTATAGATATGGTCAGATTAGTGAATATGCTCAGCTATGGGGTATGATAGTACAGAAATGAGATATGACCTGGGAATACCTTCTCTGAAGACTGGCATAAGCAAAAATGCAAGCTCAAAATCATTAATAATGTCGGTTGCTTGGGCAGATTGTGGAAGCTGTAATGCTTGGGTTGGTGGTGGGGAATGGGTTCTGGGGATCTTGCCAGGAGCACACAGAGCTTTGAATAACATTGCACAGCATAACAAGATCAAGTCCAAAATTTACAATCTGGTCAAACCTAGTTCTCTAAACACATACCACTCACAGCAAAGGTCTGATGATTCATCTAATCAACCATCATTGTTTTTTCTGTGATGTTGCATAAGCTTTATCCTGTACCTTGAATGCCCTACTCTTGCTAGTTGTCAAGATCCCATATGTATTTGAAATCTTACTGTAATATCTCCTCTATATAGCCAATATCAACCATTCAGAAGGAATTAGATGCTATCTTCATGTGCCATATTATATTGCTCTAATATACCTATCAATCAGGAGACAGTCAACATCCTGACTATGGGACCAAATGATTATTTTTAAATTAGCATGTATGGTGTCCTGTAGAACTGGTCTGTATTTTCTTTGTTCTTCCATGTTTTCCAATTCTTCTGCATTGCAATACTGTTTCTAGAACTTTGATCCTTCCCTCCTTTCCTTCCTTCCTTCCTCCCTCCCTCTCTCCTCCTTCTTCTATTTATTTCTCTGCCTCTGTTCTTTCCTTTCTTTCATTTCCTTACTTCCCCTCATGTCTCTATCCATTCCTTTTATCTCTCTTTCAGTACAAAATTATAGATCTCTTCTTCAAGTAGCAACTTTAATTAACTAAGACTAATAAAGTATGAAAAGACTCGTTACCAACTACAGCTTTTAAGATTTCACAATCTGGTCCTTAATCTTATGCTCATTATCCTACAACAGAAAGAATTGATTCCAAACTACTGTGCCCATTTTTATTTAAGGTCTCATACTCCTCACTTTTCCTCCCAAGCACCTATAGACCACATTGCATGCATGGTGTTGGAAAGGTTTGCAGCACAGTCCTACCATTGCTTAATTCTTTAGTGGAGTCCCCCCTCCCTGAGAAATCCTCCACAGCAGCCTTGTATGGATCTTTCCTACCCAGAGCTCTCTTCATCCACTTCCTTCATTTGGCACTTGGTATGTGCTACCCTGAATCCTCAATGGTTTATAAAGGGTTGTTCTCTCTTCAATTCAAATTTCACCTACTTTGGAACCAGGATCATGTTGGCAAATACATAACTTAGTACAATTATTATATATAACTGGTATTTATATTTCTGCATAAACAATATCTCAAAAGTAGATACAACTTAGTTCATACATTTTTATTTCATTTGAGGCAGTCATAAACTAGGACACTTTTGTAATGTTAGAAGCAAGATAGTTATTTTCTTTAAGGAAAGCGGAGTGACTATAAGCTAACATGATGGGAGCTTCCAGAGTACTGATTTTTAGTGTATTTGGATAGTAAAACTCATTTGATCTCTATATATACCTGTGCACTTCTCTACAGCTATAATATAAACATTAAAATTGTTTTCAAAAGATTACATCCTAAAATTATTTATTTTCAAATTTATTATACAACAAAACATTCATCAGTGTAAAATAGAAAAATAAGGAAAAAAATGTATCCATAATACCTTATCATGTAAAGATTCTTCAAGATTCTTTCTGAAAGTTTCGGATTCTTGAATTAAAACATTCTATAAAAAAAAGAGAAATTAGCAATAAATTAAGCAGAAAATATTCAAATATGTAGGTTAATGTTCTAACACTCAAAGATCTCCTTATATTCCTTCCTTGGTGAATCTATTCTTGTTTTCTATGGAAGATTAATGGAATCTTTAAATTTGATATCTTAGCATTGTTGAGAAATATATTATTTATGTAGAAAATGTTATTTTGCAACATTTGTATGGATAAATGAAACAAGTATTACCTTTTAAGCTATTTATTTTGCCTTTTGTCATACTACATGTAATCCCAGCTAGAAATTAGATATAATTAGTTAATTCTTCAAATGAGAAATAGTGAGTAACATGCTAAATATTAGCCAGGGATATTTTAAAGAATTCAGATAAACTAATTTTCAGTTTTGAAAGAAAGAAGAAGTCAAATTTTTAAAAGTTTACTTTTTAGACTTCTATCCCAGCACATTTCATATTTCTAATAATAGTTATATTATTAGAGAAATAAAAATAAAGTTATAGCAATTTAATAACTGATGTTACACGTAGTGAAGAAATGAAAATAAATTGCATAGATAATTAAAAGAATCTTTGTCACAAAAATACTATGTTAAAAGCCTTGTACTTTTAGTACAACAAAACATGATTTAAAATAATGCATTGTTGCTGGGTATGGCGGTGCATGCCTGTAATCCCAGCTACTTGGAGGTTGAGGCAGGAGGATTCCAAATTCAAGGCCAGCCTTAGCAACTTGATGAGAACCTGTCTCAAAATAGAAAAATAAAAAATGCTTGAGAATGTAGCTCAGGGGTAAATTACCTCTGGGTTTATTCCTCAGGACTACAAAATAAAAATAAAATAATAATAATAATAATAATGCAGTCTCTTCAAAGTATTGAGTAAAATTCAACAAGAATGTGCTAATTCCATATCAGCCATGTATTTGGAGTTGTTTGGGAAGGAGCACGCCTTACAGTTTTCTAGTGGGTAAATTAATGTTTCATTGAAACATTTTTCCTAACTTTTTTTATGTGTCAAGAAAAATGTCAAGATAAAGTAGTGTTTGCATTCAAACTTAGTTTCCATAATGATTTATGCACCTGGGTTTTAGCCCCTACCTTTGTTTATGCTCTGGAATTGGCAATCATCTCACATAACTCTTGCTGGTCTGGTAACTGCCAGTTATCAATGGGACACATAGTTGTGAATCAAATAGCAGACTACACAGACAGATGAACCTTTTTTGAAACAATACATTTGAAAACATTGAGTTCTTAAACCCTCCAATGATATTGAAAAAAGTTCTGTTTGCAATACAGACTCTTGTACTGCAATTTTTATACTGGTAGTAGGTATCAGTCATTTGAGATACATGAGTTGTTGAAAGTCAGATCTCCATCTCCCAAGTGTTGAGTTTTGTCTTATCATTCTTTTTTTCACATACAAGGAAAAGATAAATAAAATATTTCATCACGAGAGCACAGCACATGTTAATACATTTGCCTCTTACAAACATGCTAATGTGAAAAACTTTTATGGCATGCAGCATTTTTTAATCACTTAAAAATTCATCATCATTGTTTACGGAAATGATTAATTCTCCTCTGAGAATATTTCAGTCATTCTTTAAATTAAGGAAAGCAAATGAATCATTTTGCTAATATGATGATTGCAGCAGCATATCAAGCAAACATAATCACAACATCGTTGCTAAATGTTCGTGAGATTCTACTCGTCTGTGCTTTTACCTTCTCTTCCAGAGCAGCCATTCTTTCTTTTAAGTGTAGCTGTAGGCGTTCATTCGATTCAGTCAGAAGTCTGTCCACTGTATCAGATAATCTTTTGTTATGCTCCTCATTCATTTTCTCTCTTTGCCTAGCCTTACATTCAAGAAAAAGAAAAAAATAAGTTAATTTGATATGAAAATCATTTAAGAACTGCTCAAGCTTGATTTTATAGCTTTGCTAGCTTTAAACTGTATTTAATTTTGTCTATGTTGATTAAATTGGTAGAAACATTTTTTCCTTTAAATTTCACAGAGCACATCTGAAAGATTCTAAATATAACCTGTAATCAAGAAAATTTTTCTTCTTAAATGTGGCCTATAAATCTATAAACAGATAGTGGGGAGTTGCTCATCGATGCACATACTCTTTGAAGTTCTTGATTCTTCTCTTCAAGTTGACCTTCTAGATGTCTCATACGTTCTTCAATATTTCCATGTCTCTCTTCAGCCTATTAAGAAATATGAAGAATGCACGTGAAATGTAAGATGTGGTTAATTCTTTCTTCTATCTAGATAAATTGAAATAAAATGTAAAGCAAGCTACTACCAACTGCAAACAGTTTTCAAAAAATAAACTTTCTTTAAACAGGCAGCTGAACAGCATTGCTTGAAATGTGTCAGCTACAAAGGCCTGTTACATCCAAGCATCAGCAAAACATTGGATTTATTTATGAGCAATGAAATCAGCCAAATGTAACATGCAGACTGTGCATGGTTTGAACACAAACCTGCCATTGTCCAATCTTAAGCTCCTGAAGCACTGAACTGCACAGATGGTCGATTATCAATAAATAAAAGTAACATAATTTTTATAAATGAAAAGAAAAAACTTAGATGGATTCTATTTAGCAATAGAAAGTAAAGTCCAGTAGGACTACCTTCCTACGTATGGAGATCATTTCTTGTAGTTTAGCTTCCATAACATATTGATAATCATCAGATGAGGTAGAAGAGGTTGGATCAGACTAACAAGTCAAGGAAAAGGAGAGGGACAAAATTGAAAAATCAGAACTAAAGACACTGACACTGAACAGAACATAGCACAGAATGCTTAAAATAAAAGTGTGACAGCAAATTTAATACTTTAATAGAATTTTATATGGAAAGAACTATACTGATATCTGGTGAACATAATGCAGTTGATGATTATAAATGAAAAACAATGATATGCTCAAATAAAAAGCTGTGAACCTAAGGTTTGGAAGGTTAGTGATGGCTGCCAACGAGAGACTACTACAAAATGAATTAAAGCAACTCTGAAAAAGTGATGTCATATTTGGAATTATGGGAAACCAAACACTAGAATATGTCTCTGATAGATTGTTAAAGTGCTGTATTTTGGTTTGTTTGCTTATCACATTACTTAAAATAATGATAACAATGTATCTAAATGTTGTGGAGTATGCAAGGCAGTAATTCAGGTGTAATACATTTGGAACAAAATTTACTATAAACACTATTCTCTGGACATCAGGGACAAACCTAAACCATGGGGAAAATTATATTGTGAGTGTTCCCCAATTGAAGCAGGAATTAGTTACCTCAGGAGGCCAACTTACAAGATAACTTCTGGTCTCCCAATGCACATTGTAGTCATCCATCTAAAACCTAACTGCCTATTCTCAGTTAAAGCTCTAAGTTGAAATTTTAAAATTTCAAATTATTAAAAAGTCAAAATTTCAAGAACTCAAAATTATTAAAAGTCCTCAAATTATCAAGGTGTCAATATTGCTGTGAGGACAAGAATATTTATTTGTGAACTTTCCAAAATGACACCAAGGACCACTACAAAATTTTCTACATAGACTTGTTTCTATGGAAACAAAATAGTGCCCTAAAGTGAACAGGCAGCACAGAGTCTTTGTGAGCTAAAGTTTGCCCAGTGCTAAGGTTAGTTACATGCCTTGAGGTGACTTGTCAGGTTACCAGAGTGCAGGGTGTTAACACATGTGACATTGCTGATAGCTGAATTGTATTAGTATGTTAAGCACAAATTACATAGAAAATCACATCAACATTTAAGTCACAATTGCAAGTAAAGTAATAATAACATCAACACAACCCTCTCTTAGGGCTATAAATTTTCACTCCAGATTATATTATCTTACTTTATATAAGTCCATTCTAAAATAACAAAATTTACTCTATGCCAATATAAGACTATATGTATGTCATGCAGCAAATAAAATAGTAACCAATTCATATATCAAGTTCATATACATTTATTTATACTATTTTATGCAAAAAATTCCAATTTAAACTATGTAATAAGTCTTTAATATTTCAAATTTGGTATGTTTATATAAATTATAACTCAGTCTTCATATTTTGTAAGATTTTCCTTCTGATATTTTTATCTCATAAATGTGGAATGTCATGCACAAATAATAAATAAACAATTTCTTTTCTCACATCTTCCACAAATTTCTGAGCAAAAACAACACAGAAAGCTACAATGGTCCCCAAATGGAAAACAATAGTTTTATAAATATCATTTAAGCTTAGAGTTCTATTAAGAATACAGTTAATGAGTTCAGATTTTGTTGAAATTATATAATATAGATTTATTAAGTTGTATGTAATCTTGCAAAAGTATGTTTTAACATGCAGTTAGAGGTATTGAAATTAATCAGATGACATGAATATTTCAACTTTCAAAACTATCTATTCAAAAATACAAGATTCTAAAACGTCCTGAAAGTCCTTAGAACTTCTACCTGTTCCTGTCTTGACTTTGAACATATAACACACACTGTGAAAATTCACTTCAGACATGGATTCCTGCCATGTCTAAATTACAATGTTATAGCTGATACTTTTTATTGTTACTAAAAATGAACTCAAGATGAATTATGTCCTTGCTGAGGAAATATGCATTTGAATTAAGGAAGTAGGTTTAAAATCATAGGGTGTGGAACCTGAAATCTTTAATTTCAGGTTCATTGTGAATAAACTTGCCAAAACTCAAGTTTGGTTTTATGCATAGCAGTTAATCAGGAATTCTGATTGGCAGGTAATAAAAGTAGAAAAAAAAGACACCAGTCAAATAAAATGTCTGACGGATTGCTAAAAGTCTTCAAAATATTAGCAGAGGGGAGCCTGCATCTAAGCTAGGCAAAAATATTTTTATTTTAGTAAGTAGTCAAAAGAGTAAGAAATTTTAAAAGAGACTATGATGAACAATAATACTGAGAGGCTAAAAATAAACTGCAATTGAAAAAAATTAATAAAGCAGGTTATAGGGATAGTCCCTAAAGCTATTGAGAACAGAGGACAAGAAAATACAAGACTTTGAAGCTACAAACTTTGGGAAAACACATGAAAAAGTGATCTTCCAATGTTATAAAAATGTTATCATGTGAAATGTGTTCAGGAGAAAATTTCAGCACTGAAGGAGTTCACATACCAAAATAAGTCATTAATATAACAATTGAGTATCTGAAATATGTTGTTGATTTAGAACCAGTCAGAAGAGAAGGTAGTAAAAAGGAGAATAGGGAATTGTAGCATTAGAAGATTTTTTAAATTGTTGATGTACCTTTATTTTTTATTATTTATTTATATGTAGTTATCAAACCCAGTGCCTCACACATGCTAGGCAAGTGCTCTGTCACTGAGGTATAACCCCAGTCCTAGCTTTATAAGATTTTTAAGAAGGTTAAAATTTTTCTGAAAGATAAGAAAAGGAAAAGAATGCAGAGAAAGTGGACATTGGGCAATATTTTCGGTAGGAGTAAGCTAAGGAAATTATTTGGAGTGCACAAGATAGTATATCAAAATAAAAGTCTAACAGAATAAAAAGAGAACAAAAAAGGATGAGACATCCAATATATTATATATATATTCATTCTAAAGAATTCTTAGAAACATTTTTGCCCTGTAACTCAAATATTATATTTTAAATTATAGTCTATTATCAGTCTTTAATAATCAGAGGCAATTTAAATTGTTTCCTTGGGGAAGATTATTGACTTTCTAGTATTTTAGTCAGGATAATATCAATGTAGTACTATTATACACTAAATTTTAAAAAGTTATTTTTCTTATGTAATCACTCACTTATCCCCCTCCCCCCTCTAAATAATGATATTTAAGAACTCTTTATGAGGTGGGCACAGAGGTGCACACTTGTAATCCAAGTGGCTTGGGAGGCTGAGGCAAGAAGTTCAAAGCCATCCTCAGCAATTTAGCAAGGCCCTAAGTAACTCAGCAAGTCCCTGTCTCTAAATAAAACTTAAAAAGCGCTTGGGGTGTGGTTCCAAGGTAAAGCACCCTGGGGTTTAATTCTTAGTACCCCCCCCCAAAAAAAACCTCTTTAAGAAAGTTACTTATGTTCCTCAAATAACAAGCCAACTTTACATATCTTAATCCATGCTATAGAAATTTAAAACAAGCATTTGCAAGAAAAACATAAAAATAGTAATATGTTTGGATAGCTTTATGTGATTTTGGAAAGCTTTATATAATTTAGGAAATATTTTCAAATTAAATGATAAGTTTGCCTTCTAACTACCCAGTGAACTTCCTTATTTTAACAAACAGGAAGATTAGCTGACTGTTCATCTTTAACTATTTACTTTCTCAAGAGAGTAGGTTTTGTGTGCCTTCTTTTCCATTTCTGTACCAATTGCTTCGGAAAACCCATAATGTCAGAATTTAAACTTAAAGTTCACATAACTATATTACCCATTTATTGCTATGGCCTGAAAAAAATAACAAACAGCAATGATTGTGTGAAAATATAAAATGTCTGTACAATTTTGAATGGCTAACAAAAGTCCAACATGCTATTAATAACAATAATCAGGATTTTTTTTTCTAGTGAAATGTATGTACAGTTTGAAGTAATCCCATTTCCATTTGACTCTTAGGGGTCAGATTACTCTTTTTTATTATAAAGTTTTCAAAATTCTAAACTATAAAGATGTTGTAGAATCTATTGGCCAAAATATGGCAGAAAACATTGAAATCTTCAGAGTATTATTAATTTTAATTTTCAGAAGAAATTACAAGTATAAAAATCACTTTTTTTGCTATCTAATGTTTTTTCCCTGCAAAATTCTATAACTATATCTTTTTGCTAACTAATGTTTTTTCCCCTGCAGACTTCTATAACTATAACTTCCAATTTCTAGCAAGTTTTATCATTCTATAGTGTGAAAAAAATCAACATTGTATTTTATTTTGTAAACTTCTAATGACAACTTATGTGAAGCCTATTGTTACGACTCATGTATATATATTTGAAACATTTAACATCACTGAGTGTTTATCTCCATTATACTATGTGTAAATATTACCATGGAAAATTAACTATAACAATAAAGTGAAATATTGTCTGTTTTATTAATGTTTAAGTTGGCAAAAGAGTTATTATTACATTTGTACCCATGGTCACTGATGTCAGCATAAGTAAAAAAAAAGCAAAAAAAAAAAAAATCATTAAATAAGAGATTAACACCATAAATATCAATAAAATTGACTCTTCTAGGGCCTAAAGAAAATCTTTATATATTCCATTTTGAGCGACAATTGTTGCTACACTTATATCCAGGTGGACCTACTAATTGTTTTAGTGCGGTACCTTTGTTAGGGCTGCAATTCTCTGAGCCAGTTCAGCCTCTACTTCAGGTAAGGTTTCAGCTTTTCTCATAGTCTGCTGCAACTTTTGCTCAGCCAGCTCGAGACGCTCTTGTAGCTGTCTGTTTTTTTCTTCCATCTGAAATAAGAATGGTAAAAGAGGCACTTAAAGGGTCAGAGTTAATATAGCAAATGTAGTCATTATGGGCTTTACACTTCATCCATTAATCTATACTTAAAATCAGCCACTAACACACTTACATGTGCTAAGTGATGATTATCATCACACTTTCATGTATTACTTATCCATTTTCCTTAATAAAATTCTGCATATTAAAACAATAGAAAATCTCTTACCCTTGGCAGCAAAAAGAAAAGAAATTGCTAATGAGTATAAGCTGGAAAAAATGGCATAAAACTCAGTATTAAGACATCAGATGTATCATGATAACAAATAAGGAAAATCACCCCATTAGTCTGGAGTTGGGACAGGGAATGTAGTTTGAGAACTGAGTCCTGGCTCTAGAGATGAGACTGACAAGCTTTCTATAAAGGGCTTGACAGCAAATATTTTGGCTTTGTGTATCAAATCATCTCTGTTCCAACTCCTCAAGTCTGCTGTTGTAACACAAAAGCAGTCATAAACGTGATTAAATTATTATACAGGGCTGTGTTCCAAAAAAGCTTTATTTACAATTGCAGGCAGCCAAAAAGATTTGGCCCATGGACCATAGTTTGTCTACTCTTGCTCTGGATCCCAATAGACTTCATTATTGTTCTGGCATTACCAGATGTATAACATTGGGAAACTTTAATGTCTTTGCTCCTTCGTGTATTCAGTGTAAAAACCATTCCTACTTCAGAAACGGTTAGAATAAAGTCATACAAACATGTAAATGGTTTAGCACAATTTCTGATTAACATACAGATTAAAAGTCAATAATGTTAATTATTTTTATCATTATAAAGACAATTTTATTTTTCTAACAAGTGAACGATATACTGGAAATCACATTTTGCTTTTCATTAGCTTTATTCTAGATGTAAGAGCATGTTTGGCCAATCATCTGCCAAGATTCACTCTATTTTACTTACTCTGTGTTTTGTGAGAATGATGAGAACACACACATGGACCAGAACAAAACCAAGACAGAGATACTGAACCTGCCGTAGGATGGCTTCTTTATTTGCCAGCTCATTTTCCAGTTTATCATTCATGTCATGTATGGAGGTAGATTCTCTCTGAGCACTGAGGTAACGCTTCTCAAGAGTGGTGATTCTTTCTTCCATGTCTTCCTTCTGTGCCATAGCCTGTAATTAAAATTAAAAAATCAAGTCAGATTCACAGATAGCTTAATGTGTTGTTTTTATGTACATAAAATTATAAGGCATAAAAGGTATGGTTTTATTGAAGTAAAGACATTCTTTTTTATGGAAGTAATACAAGATTTTATGTGAATTTCCCCCATTTATTTATCTGAACTCATCTTATATCCTCTGTTAACCAGAATGACCAAAACATTAATTAGGCAGGTGGAAGTTACAGTGAGGCTGCATTTTTTACAATAGCTGCCATCACTGAATAAAGTGTTATTTTATGTTGATTGTGGAAGAAGTTCATAATGGGAAAACACAAGTTTTGAAGCCAGGCTGATCCTATTTCTTGGAGCTAGAGTGGGAGGGTGGTAAGGAAGCTTTGGGCCAGTCACTTTATCTCACTAAGCCTTAGGGTCCTCATCTGGGAAAAGTGAGGGTAATAAGAACTTTTCCACAGGTAGTTCATGGGAAATTAGAGAAATCAAATATAATGCATTAGTAATCGCCTTCAAAGGTGGTTGGTCCTTCTGAAGTCCTTATTAAACCAGGGCTGTGGGACTTGAGAAGTAAACCTTTCAGACATATTTTAGTTACCCTTCACAGTAACCTGAGTGCCCTGTGTGTGTTTGTGTGTGTTTGTGTGTGTGTGTAAGTGCAGAAAGGCAGCCTGAGGTTGGACTCTGTTCAGCTCAATGGTCTTCTCAACACTGTCACCTCCTACTGTCTTGCACCTGGCATTTCACACATTTATATTGCCTACTTGACTTTGAAAACGTTTGTGTTTGCAATCTCGACTCAAAGAGGGATGACAAGATTTTTTTTTTTTCATGGAACTCTTTGAGCTGAAAAGAGTAATTCTGTTTTAGAAGAATTTCCTGTGAAAGGAGACCATTGTATCCATTAGAAGAAATTCCTAATAAAAGAAAACCTGGCATTAGAGGATTGATGTCTCTCCTCTAATTGGGCTCTCTGTCACCTACATTCAGAGACTATTCATTCTAAGGACTTATTTTTAAATGGGTGACAAAAAAGGGGGAGCTAGAGGCATCGGGCTCTTTCTGAGGTGACACTAGATTAGGTAAGGACAAATTGGATATGTAAGTGCTAAAATGAAAGGGAAATACCTAGACCTCTGGAACCAGGAGAATGAAGAAATATCAGAATGAGAAACAGTTCAAGAAATAGACCTGGTGAATTCAAAGAAAGAAATCCTAGTGATTCCTCAAAGGTGGTATAGAAGAGAGGTTAAACTTCATCTACTTTATACATTCCCTGACTTTGGGTTGTGGGAAGGAATTAAAAGGAGACAGGTATCCATAGACTATTGATTTATGTAAAGTTGTATCACCTGAGCTGGAGTGAATCTACCGCTTCACAGATCATCTCTTTCAGAAACAGTAGTTAATGTTTTAGTGCATATTCTAACCCCATCCATGCATTCTGACATTTACTTATTATATAAACCTATAAGTGTCAGTGCTCTTAGCAAAGATGTTTTTGGGTGCCTATTATGCTTACTAGTTGTGTACAAAGTAAGAAGAGAGCAGTGAACAAAGCAAAACAAAACTCCCAGTTCTCAAGCATCTTTATGTATAGTCATGGAAGGAGTCAGATGATGTACAAGCAAATCTGTAAAATGTATATTGTGCCAGGAAGAGGAAGTGTTGTGGGATAAATAAATGAAAAAAGAGGGAGAGTATGTATGTGTAAATAGCAAGGTAAGAGAATACTTCCTTGAGAAGACAACATTTGAGCAAATGGCAGGGTGATAAGAAGATGCAACTTAATAGGTCCTGCTTGCAGAGGAGGTCACCTTTAATGAGTAGGCTAGAATGACAGAAGGGATGAACTACAAAAGGTCAGGAGAGAGGTAACAGAGACTATACATGTCTTTTAGGCCATTTAAGGGTTTTGATATCACTATAAGTGAAAAAGGTAACCATTGAAGAGTTTTAAGCAGAAAAGTAGCATGAGCTAATGCATCAGCAGGCTACTTTGGTTATGGGGTATAGACTAAGGTGAGCCAAAGTCTGAAGCAGAAAGACCAGAAAAGAGACTATTATAAAAATACATGGGAAAAAGTATTTGTGTGGAACAAAGAAGAGCCATGACAGTTGTGAGAAGAGGTCATATAATGGATATATTGGGATTATAGAGGTATTAGCATTTATCACTAATGCAAACAATACTGTCTGCATCAAATAGGGATACCAGGGACAGCTCCAAGACTTTGGAAAGAGCAACAACAACGATGGGCATGTAAGACTGCAGGTGAGTCAGGTGTGTCGGGGAAATAGCAAGAAAACAGTTTTGAAGATGTCAATTTTGTGACACCACTTAGAATTCTATACAACCACCTGAAAATCGGGAAAGCAAGACCAGCTGGAGATACAAAGTGGGAGTCAGAAGGCCATGGAGGGTTTGGGAGTCATGAGACTAATGTGAATTTACTAGGGTGGATTGAGAAGGGAAGGCATTCTGAGGTTGGGTAGGGAAAGGACCCAGTGAAGGATTCTTGAGATGAGGGCAGGGAGTAAATATGGAGGAAATTCAGGAGAAAGCAGTGTTTTTTTTAGTTCAGTGAAGACATGATCTAGAGAAGGAAGAGTGGTAAGGTGATAAAGTGATTCAAAGTACTGAGAACTGACCTCTTCACTCAGTAACACAGAGATCAATAGAAACTTTTATAAAGACATTTTTTTATGGACCGTGGAGTCATAAGTATGGTGAAATGGGTGCAAGAGAGAATGGGGGAAAGAGAATTAAGTACAGAGAATAGAGTCACTACATTAACAACTGGTTAAGCACCTACAAACAATATAAAAAGATAAAAACACATGGTTTAAAAGAGTATGAAAAAATAGAAGAGGGTAAAAGTCACAAAAGTTTTTCACAGAGAGAGAAATAATTTTCTTTTCAATTGAGAGAAAATAATTGATTCTAAACTTCAACGTTAGCAGGTAAGATGATTTGGCAGTGTTACAAATAAAACATCTCCTTGTATCTTTTGTAGTAACTTTAAAGTTCTTTCTTTTTTGTCAATGATAAAGCAATGTTAATTCCAGCAAGAACTGAATATATAGAAAAAGAAAGGTTATGTTATACATATGTATAACATTCACACATTTACTTCACATTCATAGACACAGAACCAAAATAAGAGGGAATGATTTAAAGTAACGTCTTTGAGTATTCTTAAATGCTAAGATTATAGAAAGTCGTGATTCATTCCCACACACAGTTATTTAAAATTAAAAGCCTGGATTTTTAAAAATTCATTAAAGCTTCAGAAAGTCTTTATTGTATCTGAGACTTGACACCCAAAATTTCCTCCCATACATATTTAAAGTGTTGTTGATGAAGTAAACTATTTTTGCTTTGCTGAACAAGTACATAACTAATATAATGTGACCCAAATTATGGTCTTTTGAGAAGTAAAGATTTCACACCATTAGAGGAAATTGTGGAAATAGCTTCCCAGAGGCAGCGTTCAGGAAGCAAAGACCAAGAGTGTTATGAATCACTTACCTCCCGAATGTCCCTTTGATATTTAGTGTTCATTTCTTCTGTTTTAATGAGATCTTTTCTTGCTGTTTCTGCTTCCTGTTCCACCTCTCCCACTCGGGAAGAAAGGGCTGCTAAACGTTCTTTCATTTGGGCCATTTCATAGTTTTGCTTTTCAAGCAATTCTTGTAGTTCAACTATTTGACTGGTTTCATCTGTTGAGTCTATAGAGCCATTGGACAAACGCTGCAGAAATAGAACAAGATAGGGCACTTAGGATGTTCTTTATCCTCAAATTAAAAAAAAATGCAAATAAATAGTGAAATTGATATAGATTTCATACTGACAAGAAGTTTTGGAGAAAAAGCAAGTTTCTGAGAAAATAGTTAATTGATATTAAAATATGAAGGCAAATCAGTAAATTTCAAAAAGGTGAACAGAAGCATTTGACTACATATGTATACATATATATCTGTGTGTATATACTTGTGTTTGTATACATATATAAAGTAGCACAAATCACATGTAATAAATAACTGGCTTTTATAGTAACAATAATTATATGCTTTATTATTATTATTATATATTTTATTGAGATAATAATATATTATTTTTAATAGGTAGAGACACAGAAACTGTAATATTTTAAATTTTTATTCAATATCCTTTGTGAATTTCCAAATCTTATTTTGAATGACACACAGAAAAAGAACATAGATGATTTTTTTTTTTTTGAAATGGTGATTCTGACCACAGGGGGAAAAATGTATAGCAGTCTTGATTTATGTATTGTTAGTAACAAACATTTTGTGTGCACACAATCCACAAGAGGGAAGTTAAAAGAGTTAAAAGCTTTGAGACTGACATTTCTACTTTTAGAAAGGCCCTCCAGAAGCCAGTGGACCCCTGTCTTCACAAGTGTACAGCACGGGCTAGTATCCAAAACATACAGGAAATCAAACTCACGGCAAACAAGCAAATAAACCTATTACAAAACTGGCAAAGGACCTGAAAAGACATTACTCAAAAGAAGACATACGAATGGCCAGAAGGTAAATGAAAAGAATGTTCAACTTCACAAATTCAATAGATGAGACAAAC